TCGTTATTATGTATTGAATACTGAAAACTATTTCAAAAAGTAAGCCATTGTCTACTCTTTCCATAAAATACGGAAATCGAAAGTTTTGGTAATTTAACATTAGGTGTATCTTTAATATTTTGCTGAGTGTTCGGTGCATTTAAGTCATTATCCTGGACCGAAACTACTGAAATCTTCGCACTAGGGTCATGATTAATTTCCTTAATACGTTTCTGAATTCCGTTTAAGCCTGAATTTCCATAACGTTATCATCTCGCGATATTGTTTTGTAATTTCGAATTCATTTTCGAATTCATCTACACTCAGAATTGGTTCAACTTCTTTACATCGGCCATTAGATAACGTTTCGGTTTTAGCATTAAGCTGTTCTAACAATTCTTCGAGCTCATTAATACTACCTTCAGATTTATTTAATTCACTTTCGATTTTCTTAAATAGTTTTGTAACGGCAGTTCTTAAGATACTTCTTTTCTTTTTTAATTTATCTACTTCAGCCATTATCTTTCTTAGATTCAAACATTTACACAAAAAAAATATAGTCTCATGAAAAACAAATATTTAACTCTTACTTAGAAAACAAAATTATTCTTTTGCTGAATACTTCAAGAACAAGTATTAAAATCTTCAATTTTAATATTCAGCTTTTGAATTCACTTTATTAGAACTTTTCAAAAAAAAAACCTGGCGTCCCTTTCGGGCGCCATAAAAATGTTGCATCAGGTTCTTCTATTTACAATAAAATTAATGTAAATTCCTTACCTGCTGCATCTTCAGTGTTCTCGAACGCCAGGCTTCTAATAATCACGTTTTCCAGTAAGAGTTTCTATTACAATTAGCAGGCCATCTTGTCTTTTAATTATTTATTGAAATAAAAAGCTAATATACACTATTTACAAGGTAGGTGATAACTATTTTAAGACAGTACATTTTTAGTTCTGAGTCTTTACGCTCCTCCGAGCGGTTCCAATCTCTACTGCTTCTCGGAACTTAATTACAGCAAAAGTAAAGGAAGAGATGCCCGCCACCTAGTGGCAAGAATGTGACAACTACTGATATTGATGTTTTTTGATGAGTTATCTTCCTGTTTATTAACCAGAGGATGCGATTATCGAGATTTTGAACTCGATATATTATTATTATAAGAAAAATGGAGATTTTATTATAAGGGTTAAGGATAAGAATGACACGAAGAAATTTCGTAAGGTGATTGAAAAAAAGCAAAATTTGAGGAACACGGTAGATGTTAAGAGCAGGAAATTTAGCACACCTAAAGTTATTATGCATAATATTCCTGATTCTATAAAAAATGAAGAAATTGTGGAAAAGTTTAAACTGGATTTTTCTCCGGTGATTGTGTCAGCTTTCTGTTCCGCATTGTTACGAATTTTGTATTTAGATAGCTCATGTAGTAGAATTATAATTAAAATTATTTTATTTCCCCTTGCAATGCAGTGGGAGATGAGTTTTAAGAGAAAGCTATGACAGAAAAGTTAAACAAACAAAAAAAAAAAAAAAAAAAAAAAAAAAAACTAGAAATCTTTTGCTTTGCAGAAATTACTAGAATCTCTCGCAACCAATTTTGAAAGCTATAAAAAGCCAGACAGAGAATCTCGGAGGAAGATAACGGTTTGCCTTCATGATTGAAGCTTGTGTTTCTAATATTCATACTGATCTACTGGTTCAGACCATTGTCTATTCAATTACGCTCCTGTCGTGTTTTCACGAATCATGCCTAAGAAAAGAATGATGCATTTTCTTATTGATGTGCCTCACGCTAAACGCCTGATTAAAGAATTAGGTAAAGCTGATAAAGACTGTCTATTTCGATCGACTGAATGAGATTGCTCGCCTGCAGGAAGAGTTCATGATGCCTACCCGCTTGACTATCGACTTAAATGTGCTGAGGAGAATTTTATTTTCCTCTTAAAGACTTTTGACATCGATATTCGGCCTTTTAAAAATCCTGGACTGGACTGAACGCTCTGCGACCCCCTCTGACGAAGCCTGTTCATCCAAATCCTGGAAAAACAGCCAGACCGCCCATACTGATGTTGAAAGTGATACTGTAAGCATCATAACCACTAAATCAGACGATAATGAGTGGATTCTTTCTATAAAATCTGCAAAATTATCCCCATCTCCGAATAAAGCTACCACTGCTGCTGAGCTTAAGACTACTAATATGGATACTATTATACGTATTAAAAATAATTTTGAATCCATAGAAGCACTTCCTGTCTCCGAAAATGTGATGAATTGCACCGAGGAACTTCTTCAGGTGCATACTGAAAAGCATGAGTTTAGCGTCGCTAATCTCCCTGAGATTGTTACTGCTTCAGTAAAGAAGGAGTACCGCCGATTGTCTGTCGCTGACCAGAGATATCTTGGAATCAAGTTAGAAGCCTTTTCACCAAACATGGTGTAAATGGTTATACGTGAATATTAACGAGAAACAAGATCAATATCATTTTTGATGCCACTGCAAATCGCGAGCTTGCACTCACTATTTTTCTTAAAAAGGACCTTCAATTCAGTACATTTCGACTAAAAAGGACTCGCCTCTTAAGGCTGTCATTCGGGTTAGCAGAAGACTCTGATTTTGAAGACATCAAGAATGAACTGTATATCGATGTTTTCCCAGTGAAATCACTCAGTTTACTAGGAAACTACTTTAGATTTCGAAGAAAGGTTTCCTGTGTTTTTCGTGTCACTGACACGTAATAATGGACTACTTACAAAAGGAAGACGATATTGAGCCTGCATGTTATAATTTGCAGATTCAAATCTAATAGAAAACACTATGATGTATTTCCGTAGCCAACGTTTTACGCAAGCAACAACTCACCGACACTTAAGTCAACAAAGCCCTACATGTGTGAGATGCCAAAAATCGCATGTAGCGTCTTATAAGAGATGTGAGTTTTTTCACAGAATTCGCCCAGGGTTTAATCTGAAGTTACGTCAACACCAGTGTTGACTAAAAATTCCGCCTATATCTTCGGATGTTAAAGCTACTGCGTGTGCGTCAGCTACTCATAATAAGATAATGAACTCTAACGCTGTGAAAGATATATTTTCTGGAACGTAGTTAGATACGGTTGTTGGATTTTTCAGTAGATTATTGAAGTTTGCTGAGCTCTTTAAAAAGAGGAATTCGCTAGAAGGAAAATCACAACTTGCATTGTACTTTATTGATATGCTTGAAAATCTTTAACTCTCTTTTTAGAACGATGAATGGACTAACTCTCTTAGGGCAGGATAGATGGCGTCACCGCTCGAGCTTGGTACGTCTCCACAGCGTCAAGATAAACTATCCTCTAATGCCTGTCATGTTTTGGCCCCTCTTTTTCAACTTCATGATGTGTAATTTTTAGATGAAGTAATTTTCTACTTAGCGCCCTAGTGCATCTGTATTTTATTGAGCCGGCAAAAAGCTAGTTTCATATACAAGCTAAGCGCGGTATAATAGAGTCATGCCTCTCCTTCTCACGTCTCCTCTCACCTCAGTTATTGTTTAGTTAACTGCTGTAGTTATTATTGATAGGATTAGCTTTCTGTGCGCTGTGGATTATGTTCTATTTAACTTTTTTAGTAGTTTAAAGGATAACTACTGCTTATATTGCATGATAGTGCTTGTAAATATCTTTGAGGAAAATTCCAGCATTCTGTTATATTTCTTTTGATAAAAATAAATTTTATTAATCTTTTACCGAACTTGTGCATTCAATCTGTTACGATCCCATACTCACGCAGCACTTCTTAGTGTCAGAGGTGGGGTTTGCATGCCAAGGAAAATAGTGATGGAGGAGCAGTTAAGACAGCTAATGGCGGTTCCGTTAAAAAAGAATGGATGCTGTTCAGGAAAAGATGGAAACCGTTCTGGAAAAGATTGAAGCAGGTCAAGAAGAAATGAAAAGGGAAATTACTTGCATAATAGAATAAAAAAATTGAGCCCATGGAAAACAGAATAGACGTGGTTGAAAATAAAGTTGGACAAACTGAAGAGAAAGTTTCTTCTGTCACAGAAAAGATTTTCGCCAGAAAATGTTGACACATTAAAGAAATGCATATCGACAGTAAGAAACAATTATGACGGCTTTAAAATTTTACCCATGCCTGTTTATTCCCTTCTGAAGCTATCCACATATCATGAGAAGACCTCCTGGCAAGTATATAAGGCGAAATTGTCTATAGTGGCGGATGCGAATGGATGGGAGCAGACGCTGCGGATATTCTTCAAACTCTTCCAGAAAAACCAGACTAGACGTCGAAGCATTTGAGCAACGGTGTGTGTAACGGTGTTTGAGACACCAGCGTGCCTGTGCCAAAGGCACTACCCCTTGTAGAACAATTTTTAAAGTTGCGAATTATGGCATGAAAATAGCCAGAGTAAAAATTTTAACATATGTAGTGAAAAACTAATTAGAATTAATGTTAAAAATTTAAAAGTAAGCAACAAGTTTTTAAATTTTTAATAAAAATAAGAGCATGTGAAAAGTACATAATAATTGTAGGCCCAGGAGCTGTCGAACTGGTGAGCAAAGAATGTAATTTACACTGAAAATTAAAAGTTCATTAAAATATGAGTTACTCACTCCAAAAAATTCCATTAACTTCTGAACTACTTGCTGTGCGTTGGGGCTGCGCTTTTTTAAAGATTACAGCAGGCTTCCATTAAAATCCTGTCAACAGAAGCCCACAGAAACAATCCAGGGATTGTGATCTGTCAACAGAAGCCCACGGATTACACTCCAGGTATTGTGATTAATGTATCAAAAACTTGGTCAGTTGTCGTTGCTTATAAACATCCTGTATATTATTGATTCGTTCAAAACAGTACGTGTCTTGTAACAGTTTCTCATTTAATAAGAAATAAATTTGAAACTATAGACATATATGCATCGGACAGTTTTCGTTTGCGAAAAAATTATAATTACAGGTTGGCAATAATCAGAACACCAGATCTGCTACAGCTGTTTTGTGTTTTCGTTATAGTTCTGAGGGTGAAGTCTGAACGTAAAGGCGCCGTTCCTTCATGCCATTAATAAGGGATATAAATAGTTTTGAAAAACTGTAAACATTCATTACGGATGGCTGCTGAAACTACGCGAAGAGGACCCAAATCTACTGGATTAGTTATAAGGCCTCAAGCCGTCAGGTATTTGAGTAAATGCGATTTGTTATTACTGGAACCCGTGTTTACTAAGTATGTAAACACTGGCCTTGCGTCATGTTATTGTCAGCGTTTTGAATTTAAAACTGCGCAATAAATCATTGACATGTGAAATCATTTATATGAAAAGAAATTAAAAATTTGTTTAATGGAATTTGTGAGGTTAAAAGCATGTATAAATATTTGAATAATAGAAATCAGTGTTATATTATGCAAGCATCTATGGTGTGCGAATGGTTTACAGTCATCCATCTCCAAAAAAAATTTTTTTTTCATATAAGTTATGTAAATAACAAATTTGAATGTCAAGTAAATTTTTTTGTTGTGTTTTATGTGTATATTTTTGCTGTGTTTTTATGTGCTATGCGTATAAAGAATCTTTACATTATATATATGGGAACATTGCCTTTTTCTTAGTGACAAGTCTTATGTGGAAAGCGTTGTTGGTTTCATTCATGATGTGGTGCCACAGGTAAAATCTCTATTTTGATTTCTTATATTAGCAATGCAATGTTTAAAATTTATCCAATATAATTTTTTTCACTTTATTAACGAAAAAGTTGCTGTCTATATGAGACGGTTAAATATCGCAATATGTAGCAGTTTAGAATTTTAAATTAATTTCACATGCGAATAATATATACTTGCATTCTTTTTTTTCCCTGTTGCATGTGATGCTTTGAAAAATTTCATTTACAATGATTTTCCTAATCTCTGCATAGATTCATGTGTATGCTGAATTCTTTTTATAAATTACGTATGTATTTAATTTTGAAAATATTAGCTAAAATGCTAATGTTCTTTGTTACTTATACATCTAATTTCTAACTTAAAATCATAATTAAAATTATTAAAAATTGTTCTATGTATTATATTTTTTTATTATATATTTTCTTATATTCCCCCCCTTGTTTTTTTAATTTCTATGTGACAAATTTTGCAGTTTCTCTAATTTAAGTAGCAGAATTCATAACAGAAAATTAAAAAAAAGGCTTCATATTCAAAAGTGCATTCACAATTTTAATAAAATTATATATTAATCCACGTATTGTGTAAAAAATTTATAGGTAAATGCATATTCTTTAATAGTGACTATTTAAATATTAGTGTTCTGAAATCTGAACTTAAAATATTTTGATTTAAAAACTCTCCCTCTGCTCCAAGGAAAAAAAGAAGCACCACTAAGGAAAGTGTAATATGTTTTTTCACTTAACCTAAAATTTCTCTTCTAAATTTGCTGATATTCATTTGTATTTCCTGATTATTTACACCTCAGTTTCAGAGCTGTAGCTAAGGTTTCTAGCACCCGGGGACTACTGAAGATCTCGTACCCTTACTATTTGCCAAGAGTGGAAAACATTTCATTCTAAAAAATTTGTAACATGTGTTTGGCATCTACTGGATACTGTTCTCGGGGACAAATGTCCCCCCTTGTCCCCCCTCTAATAAAACTGTCAAGTTTTTGGTACACTTTTGAGTGCACATTGACTACACTTTTTATTTCACTATTATTTTGCTAAACAACTGTCAAAATGTAAAGATCGATATAGAGTTTTGTTTTTGCTCATAAATTTTTTTTGTTTCTTCTTCTTATTGTTTATGAAGATTATTATATTGTTACGTGCGTACGGGTTCGTTTGAATTGAATGCACAAGTTGATGAAAATATGGACAAAATTTATTACTATCAAAACAAAAATTTCCTCAGATATTCTTTTAGTATTACAATATCTCACAGTAGTTATCTTAACTACTCAAATGTTCAACAGAAGTTAATTCAAAAAATCTAAAGAAAGCTAATCTGCGAATTCGCTACAATCAACAAGAGCAGTTTTCTAAACAAACTCTTAAAACAACAACAAGCTAACTAAAATAACTGATTGACTGAACTGAGAGGTTTTCCTCCTTTTTATAAGATTTTTAAATCGTGCGCGAGAACTTTCTGAAACTTTCTCGAAATCAAAAAGAGATATTTATTAAATGTTAAATGCACGCACTCTTGTATTTTCAATTTTTCTGGCTTAGCTTTCTTTTAATATTCGTGATGTGATGCACTGCACGGGAAATAAAACCATTTAATTTACAATTCAACTAACATTAGCTATTTAAATACCAAACCCAACACACTGTCCCCTCCCAAGGACTGCACGTCCCGGGCAGTACAATCCCTGGACAGGAAGCCAAACTTACAACTGTGGCATAAATGCAATAATAGGCATTACATTACAATACAAACAAAAAAAAAAAAAAAAAAAAAACAATAAATTCAATCAAATACTAAATACACATTTAGAAACAAAAAGGACCATGGTCTTACACTATTTACAATTATTTACATTACGTACTATGGCCATAGTAATAAGCTAACCTGTCGCAATGAACGATTTTAGGTTTGGAGTTCCGACGGATCTGAACCACAATGTCATTCAGCCTGTTTAGAACTGTGTGGTGACCATCCCAAGGTGACTGTAATTTAGGCCTGATTCCTTTTCGTCGAATCGGGTTCCACAACCACACCTTGTCTCCTTCGTTGAATCTGTGTTCAGTAGCTCTCGTGTCGTATCTCATCTTCACTTTCTCTGTCGCCAAGTTGATTTGCTTTCATGCAGAACGGTGCATCACTTCAAACTGGGCATGGACATCTTGGATGTGTTCCTCAGGCGATGAAGGCACATCCGTAGGGTGACCAAATAGGCGGTCACAAGGCAGACGAAGATCTCAACAGAAGAGCATCAGGGATGGAGAATAGCTGGTAGTCTTGCATTTCTTTTCGACCCTAGCATGATTTCGGCAGCTTCTCGTGCTGGTTCTTTCGGACAAAGTGTTGGCATTTCCAGGTGAGGATCCCTTCTGAGGATGGATAGTCATGTCTTGAGATCCTGAAAGCAGTTTGTTGTTTTTGAAGTCTAAGGAAAAATTGTATTTCCTTAAAAAGTCTGGTCCAAGTATGCATGGATCTGTAATATCTGCCACATATGCCGTGTGATGGTAGGCGGCACTTTCAAACGTGATGTTCAGGTTTAACTTCCCAGCTGTGTCGATCTTGTCACCAGATGCAGTCTGAAGGGTAACACAGGATGGCGTCCAAATAAGTTCATCTTTAAACTGTTCAGCTAAATCTTTCCTAATGATGGTAACATTAGGAACAGTTTAACTGTTCCTAATGTTACCATCATTAGGAAACAGTTTAACTGTTCCTAATGTTACCATCATTAGGAAACAGTTTAACATTAGCTCCTGTGTCAATGATCATACTTCAAGGAACTTCATCGATATGCCCATTGATGGACAGTCCGTTACTATTGCCACTCACCGTGGAAATCTTGAGTGCTTTAAAACAAGGTTGTTCATTATCTGGCAACCTCTGTTCCTTGATATGGTCATTAATTTGTTTCCTGCGTCATTGCTGACAAATGGTCTCAATTTTCGTATTCTGAGGTGTTCTGCAATTGATTCGTACGTGGCCTTCAGCTCCACAGTTCCAGGAATTTGGTGTCTTGTCACTCCTTTTTCGTCCGATGGCATTAAATTGTCTGTTCAACTCGTTTGGTTTTTCTGCAGTTCCTTCAAGCGTGGCTTTCAACACCGCAGTTCCAGCACTTTAGAACTGGTTTCTTTTCACTTGTGTTCCATCTGGAGCCACTGACGTGTCTTGTATAATCATATGTTTTATTTTCTGTACCCCCGGGGTGTTCTGTTATTCCATCGCAGGTGACCTTCAGAACCACATCTCAAACACCTTAGAGCCACTTTGTTCTCACTGCTACTCCGTATCAAAGGATCGACTTGTCTGGATAAATCATCTAAACGAGCCATCAGTTGATCCACTGGCTCGTGGACTCGCACAGCTCTGACGGAGTAGCGACCTCTACGAGTTGCTTGCTGAGCTGCCTCGAATTTTACAGCGTACAACAGAGCGCTTTTTATGTCCTTCACATCCACCATTCGCAGAACTTTCTGTATTTCGGGATCCCGGATGCCATCGATGAAATATTGCAGCGACAGGATTTCTCTTGTTTCTGTCAGTCACTCTAAAAAGTCGTGATGTGACAGCCTTTCAACATCCTTGGCGAGCTCCTGGAAGTGTTTCCGGTGGGCTTCTGTTTGACGGGATTTTAAGTTGAAGCCTGCTGTAGTCTTTTCAAAACACTTTTCCCCAAAGCGCAGCTCCGAAGCGCCGGATAAAGCTTCGAAAATCTATTCTTCTGGATTTCCAGGAAGAGTCTGCAAGGATATCCGCTACGTCTGCTCTCAGAGAAGCGGCGAGATGACGGGCCTTAGCTTAGGAATCCCATTCATTCGCATCCGCAACTATAAAAATGCCCATTGATAGACACAGTCCGTTACCCTTCTTTTAAAATAAAAAATTTATTTATTTATTATTTATTGCAATATCCATGAACATGTACTTTTACTAGGTTTATCTTTCCAAAATTCACTTTTTTTATGCATTATATATATATATTAATGAAACCCATAAAAATATCCCTCAAGTCACGCTGCTGATGTGATATTTACAGGAAATTTTGCGAGATCAAAATTTTTTATTATTATTTACACATAAGTTAAGATAGTTTAAGGCCCCCAAAATTATCCCGCTATCCCAAATAAAAGAAGTTACTGTTTTGTTATCAGGACACAGTGTTCAGAAATGCATGTTTGTATGCATGTATGTATGCATGTATATATGCATGTACACTGCTCAAAAAAAAAAAAAAAAAAAAAAAAAAAAGGGACAGTGCTATACCTTCCATTCTACTGGGCCGATTGACAAAATTCAAACTGCGTTTTTCATGTCTCGAAAGCGCGACTTAGGATATATATTAGATTTATATATAGCACTATTCTAACATAGGTATTTTGACACAAAAATCGGACTTTTTTCTGAAATAACATACCAATTTTTTAGATATTTCGTTCTATTTCGATTCTACGGCTCAATTATGCCAGAATACCAAGTTTTGTAAAAATCGTACGAGTAGTTTTTAAATATTAGCTCTCAAAATTTTAGCTCCTCAATGTTAATTGAATTTGGGCAAATATTTATCAATATCTCTTTTTCCATTAAACTTTTTGATTTTTTTTCTCTCACATTTCGAAATTTAGGTTCATTTCAAATAAAATTTACCCATTTTTTTGTTTTTTATTTTTAAAAATTTCTATTTTTAAATAATTTTTATAAATTTTTCGAAAAAAATTTTGAATTATAACCTATAAAATTTTTACCATCATCTTAAAGTAGGTGTATTTTTAAGCATATCTGCAAAAAATTAGACTTTTTTATTCAAAATTTTCTAAGATATACACAAATTTACATATTTTGAGTTTTGAAATTTGGCATCTTTTTTTTTTAGCGATAATAACGCCAAATGTGGTCTATGGATTTTTGTTACAGTGAATTGCCACAGCTATTTTTAACCTTAAATTTCAAGTAAAATTTGACAGAGAATTAATTTTTTCCCTCAATGATGTG